GTCCCATACCATCCCATTCGTCTTCAAGGGGATGTAGTTGCTCAAGATGTTTTCAATTTGGGCATGGAAGTCTTACGCTTTTGTACTTTTATTGGAGGTTTCTCCTTCCCTACCCACAAACATACCTTCCAAATCTTCAAGTGCTTGGTCATGACGAGAATACGCAAACATCTTCTTTCCTCTGGATTTACCTTCCGAATAGTTAACCACAAAGCCAACATTCGCCCAGGCTTGATCCTTCTTCCGATAGTCAAGGGTGAAAAAGGATAATGACATCTTCAAAGCGGTGATTGAAAGGTTGTCAAACTGCCCCGTAACTGCCCCATCAATGAAGAACTGGACCCCAATGCCTATCTTATTCTGTGGGTCATCCACGTATTCATTTTAGGCGTTTCGGTATGCCTCGCCCATGTTCAACTCACCCACATAGGTCGCTTTTTCAGGTGGTGGAGCCATCGGATCATCATTGAAAAAGCAGAATTCCTCATCTGTGAGTCGTGGATCGGTAAGCAATTGCTCCACACTATTCCGAGCACTGAAGCAAAAGACTTTGATCCGGGCATTTGCAATGAGGGAAGGACTATCTCCTTTTCAAAAGGTAATTTGTCGCTCATGTTGTACTTTTCCTTAAGAATTCGGAGCAGTTTTTTCCTGCTGAGGTAGTCTGGATTCTTTCCCAGCTTTTCGTTGTCCATTAGCGACCCATTTTCCTCCAAATGCCAAGCAAGTTCATCATCATAGGTATCCAGAGGTGTTCCTTTTCCTACGGAGGATATCCATTAGTTTGAAACCTCGCTTCTCCGAATCGGTTAGCTCGGTTAATTTATTTGCCTTGACACAGTAGGCTCTGAATGCGTTTATGTTGCTTTCGTCTGGCGGGGCCGGTATCATCCAAGGCCTCTTTGTTGTCACCTTGCAATGTGGCAACTGACCCTTCCAAAACTGAGCTCACTGTCCTCACTGAGTAGGCTCACTATCCGAATCCGGCGTTGAAATCGATCAATGTTGGTAGGGAGAATCACCATCCTCATTCTCGTCCCCATTTCCTTCCCCACAGCGGCACCCTTTTTGTTGCGATTCGAGGATTTGCTGCAGGTTTCCGATGGTGTGTGTCTTCTTTGGAACCACCACTACCTTGGAGTGAGGCCCTGGCATGGGCATCCTCGTCCTGCAATCTTGTGGAATGGCTGCCCTGGAATCTTGTCCTCTTGCTGCCTTTTTTGGTGCTTTTGCGGGCCGACCGGTGTCAGTGAGACCAAGCTGATCAGCTCTGGCCCTTGATCTTGTCTGTCTAGCACCTATAGGATTGAAAGCAAGGTCCAAACCAAGGGCTTTCTTCATCAGTTGGTGGCAGCGCTTGTTCTGTTGCATGTGAGATTGCTGATTTCCCACAGATTTGAATTTTTTATTGCAGTAAGGCACTCAAACTCCTTTTTTGATGATGCCATGGCTGAAGCTAGCTAGCCAACCTAGCTGCTACTAGTACTAGCTAGGGGCACTGGCTGGTGTTTGGATTCTGTGTGCTGGGGAACCGCCCGCTACCAATCGGGATATAGTTTATTGGTACCAAAGAGAGGGTTTGCCTTCCCGAAAAGACGTCCAAAAAGTGGATCCCAAATCGTGAAGCAGGCAGTCTTGCCGGGCGGGCCTTCGTTGCATGCCCATGTGGACACACAATCCCGATTCCAATCACTGCACGCATTCTTGGAAGAAATTACGTCACGGATCGGGATCGTGCTGGTTGGCGTTTGGTACCTGCACGCATGTCGATTCTAGCACTACCTAAAAATGCGCTTCTTAGATGCACCCTTTTTGTTGCCGATTCGAGGATTTGCTGCAGGTTTCCGATGGTGTGCGTCTTCTTTGGAACCACCACTACCTTGGAGTGAGGCCCTGGCATGGGCATCCTCGTCCTGCAATCCTTGTGGAATGGCTGCCCTGGAATCTTGTCCTCTTGCTGCCTTTCTTGGTGCTTTTGCGGGCCGACCGGTGTCAGTGAGACCAAGCTGGTCAGCTCTGGCCCTTGATCTTGTCTGTCTAGCACCTATAGGATTGAAAGCAAGGTCCAAACCAAGGGCTTTCTGCATCAGTTGGTGGCAGCGCTTGTTCTGTTGCATGTGAGATTGCTGATATCCCACAGATTTGAATTTTTATTGCAGTAAGAGCACTCAAACTCCTTCTTTGATGATGCCATGGTTGCAAGCTAGCTAGCCAACACTAGCTGCTACTAGCTAGGCGCACTGGCTGGTGCTTTGGATTCTGTGTGCTGGAGAACCGCCCGCTTACCAATCGGGATGTAGTTTATGGTACCAAAAAGGGGGTTTGCCTTCCCGAAAAGACGGTCCAAAAAGTGGATCCCAAATCGTGAAGCAGGCAGTCTTGCCGGACGGGCCTTCGTTGCATGCCGATGTGGAACACACAATCCCGATTCCAATCACTGCACGCATTCTTGGAAGAAATTACGTCACAGATCGGGATCGTGCTGGTTGGCGTTTGGTACCTGCACGCATGTCGATTCTAGCACTACCTAAAAATGCGCTACTTAGATGTATTACCTTAACCTACGATATCACACTTCGAGGCCTCCCGCGGGAGACCAACTTCAATGAGCTTCACAACGATCTCTCTCATAGATTAGTTTTCATAGCTTTCTAATCTCTCTCATAACTTTCATTCTCTCAAACTCAAAACACTCGAAAGATCTTTACACTAGCTTTTAGCGTAGTGCATCAAGTTGGTTCCAGTGGAGAAGGAAGGAGAAGGTCTTGTGGCTACCCAGCCATTCCCACGTGATTCCGAGTATTGGGCTCCCAAGGCTGATGATATTGAATCCTTTACCATTCCTCCTGGTGCAGGGAAGTATTAGCTCGATTGCATGGTCGTTCAAGAAATCTGATTAAATCATTCGATTGATCATGCGATGCACATGCGCGGTAGCATGCAAAAAACCAGGAAAAGAGAGAGAAAAAGTCCCTACTCACCGTGTGATGCCGTGATGGAGCGATCATAAATAACAATAATAATACATGTAGCAAACAAAGAAAGAAAGAATGAAGTAGTTAGCTAGTCTACATGTACCAGGTACTGGCTGGTACCAGTGCATGCATGTAACTCTAACTCTACATGAACCGAACCGTGAACCCAGTAATGTATAACTCTAACTGTACGTTCAACTTGTAGCGGCGCGGGTGTGTCCTGCTGCAGTAGACCATACTGTACGGTTCGGAACCTGGTGGTACATCGTACATGTACTATTAATAGACTAGTACATGTACCGGCGTACCGGCGGACCATGTTTTATGTGCATCTTCCAAAAGGTTCTTGTTCTTTAAGTGATGACGTGATGACTTGTAAAACAGACACGGAAAGCCTTCTTTTGCGTAAGTGATTACTTAACTAGGAACCAGATTTTCGGAAATGCTTTTCACTTGCAATCCACGACAGGACCAAGCGAAACTAAAAGATTTATGATTTTAGCTCTCTTGAATTCACGAGACTCTCATGGGGTGACTATTGCTTTATGTCTTTTGAAAGCAGAATACTGTATGAGGTTGAATGCGTCTTTGTTGATTCACGGCATCTCATTATTTGGGGTTCACCTTCTCCAAATTGCTGATGGGCGCGCTGGTTCCTTCAAATTCATCGCGAACCTTTTTTATTCCTTGCACATCACTTCCAATTTCCAATCCACCGCCAAGCAAGCAAACAACTAGCTAGCTAGCAAGTCCCACAAATCACAAAACACTCCAAACAACATCGTAACAACTACTAGACTAGACTAGACTAGACTACAAGCCCATAGGGATCGACGATCAGTAGACAACTCAACTCAACTCAACTACACAATTGAGCAAAGAGCAAACGGCAGCAGCACGTGCCTTAAGTAATTCAAAAAGAGGTGAGTTCGAATTCGTTCTCTTTTTGTTTTTTGCTGTTGACAATGACAATGACAATGACAATGGCGCCCTGCATGAACAGTACGGCAGGAGCTCAGGGCTGTTCCGTGCCGTACAGTAGTGGACAGCGGTCGAGCTACCGTATCGTACTGTACTGCTTGGTATTGCTTGGTGTTGGTGTCATTGTTTTTGTGCTATTCCGCTTGGGGACAGTATGCGTCTTTTCATTTCTAACCACATTTCCCCCTTCTCCCTTCCTTGTCTAGAAGAGATCCGCCACAAGTTGCCGTTTCTTTTTAGTTTAGGTAAAGCCACACCAAGATATCTTTTTCTAAACTCCACCACAAGATGCAACCTTTCCCCACTACCGGTACTACCAGCACGCTTTTGCTGTCAGCGCTGCTTTACCTGTTGGGCACAGCTACAGCTACCACCAATGCCGAGGCTGCTGGTACTGGTGGCCAAGTCTCTCCATTTAGTACATCACATTCCAGACAGAGTCAACTTCCTGTTCCATTGCGAATGAGAAAATTGCAGTCAGAGACTGGATGGGTGCAGGTGGGACAGCAAATTGAAGGTGCAGCTGCTGGTGACCAATCTGGATACAGGGTCGCAATCAATGACGATGGAACCAGAATTGCCATTGCGTCTCCAGAGTATGACGGAACTAATGGAGCCGTCACGGGATTGGTCAGGGTATATCAGTATTCCGTGGGCACCCAGCAGCAGTGGACACCCGTAGGAAACGCTTTGGAAGGTCTGGAAGGAGAGGGAATTGGTGAAGGCATGAGTCTATCGGGAGATGGAAACACTGTTGCCGTGGGAACATTCGACCTTTTCCCATACGACGGAAGCGTACTCATTTTCCGATTCATTGGAGATCAATGGGTATTGCTCATAGAATTATTCGGATCTTCAGAACGCGATAGATTTGGAGGAGCCATTTCACTCAACTTTGATGGGACTCGCATCGCTATTGGAGCCGCTACACATGATGGAGTCGTTGGAGACCGACGAGGACAAACGCAAGTATGGCAACAGGTGGGCGATGCCTTCACGTGGGAAAAGGAAACTCAAATTGAGGGAGTTCTAAATGGTCAGCGCAAACAAACAAGCAACTACAACCAAAAACTTCAACAAATGTGCTGATCTCACCTTTTGGCAATCGTTTTTTTTGTTACGTCTCAACAGGGGACCGTAGTGGACATGCCGTGGCTCTATCGGGTGCTGGTGAAACGGTCGCCATTGGAGAAATCACTGCCGATCCAAACGGGCTTTCCAGTTCGGGAACTGTCGTCATCTTCAGAAGGATTGATTCACTCTCGGGATGGAACCAGCTGGGGGCCGAGATTGCTGGAGTCAACGCAGGAGACCAAAATGGATATTCCGTTGCCATATCATACGACGGGAACACTGTAGCAGCAGGGGCGCCCTATCATTCCTCACAGGCTTCACAAGCGGGAATGGTCAGAGTCTTCGCATATGATGCCACCGCCAATAGCAACAACGGCGGCTGGGTGCAAAAGGGGAACACACTCTATCCTACCACTGCCGTGGCGTCAGCCAAATTTGGAATGTGTAAGTACCAGTGCATACTGCATGCGTGGCGTCAATTGTCTGGTCTTGCCTTGTCGTTATTCAGTCATTCTTACCATTCACACTTGAATTGGTGCCACTATGCATCGCTCTATATATATACAGCCGTGTCGCTGTCGTCGGATGGTCTGGTTCTCGCTGTCGGAGAACCAAATGAAACCGGAATCGGAAAAACTACAATCTATCAGTACAATGCCGACTTTGCGACTTGGGATCTAGACACAACCCTCTCCAAAGGATCAGCTGCTGATTCCTTTGGTGGTGCGGTTGCTTTGAGTGGGGATGCCACTCACGTCATTGTCGGAAGCCACCTAGCGGATAGAACTGGTGCCATTGACAGTGGCGTCACGCGGGTATATCAGTTCACAAGCAGTGATTGGCTCTTGTCGGTGACCAGTTTTCAGACTGATTTTGGTGGCGGAACAGACCCAGAGTTCGCACTGACGTTTCTTGGATCGGCTCCCACTGCAGTAGCCGGAAGAACATACAGAGTCAACATGTTTGTGCCTCCCTGCGCTTTGGAAGGGACAGCAACTGACAACGCCGTGTCTCCGGTAACTTCAACCGGAACCATTCCAAATGCTGATACCTTCAACCTGGTCACGCAGCTACGTGTGGATACTGGACTCCTCTCCACCACGGGGTCAGATTACTATGTTGACAAGGGCGTCGGCAAAGGACAGTAAGTGAAGTGCCTGATGGTTTGTGATTGTGCGCATTGCCACCCGCCCGTCACTATCTAAAACGATTGAATCGAATCAACGTGTGTGCTATGCCAGGCTTTCCTTCTGTTTGAAAATGGAAGTGTTGGAGGGGACTACAGTCAAGGTAGATCGTATTGCCGATATCGTCGTTCAATTGGACATGGGTCAAGGCTTTTTGGTGGAGAATTTTGTCTCTCGAAGTGGAGGGAGCGGCAAGGTACGTTTGACAATGCCTCGCTCGGTTGATCGCGGAAGCCAGTCCGAAGTGTGCTGTGTTCTTGTGTCTAACAAGCGAGCTGCGGTACCGGCATACAGACGGACATTCGCGAAGATGTTCAGTTCAATTACGCCTTCAACAGTAAGTAAAAAGCGCTGCGTGGCCACGTAAACACAGGTCCGGCCAGTGTCATCTCATGTTCCTTCCGCGCCTCTGGTGTTCTTCGCTTCGTTCAAACCAGCGTACTTCTGCGACGAGTTCGGCTCCAATATCGAGGGAGGCACCACTACTGCCGTTGCACCTGGTGGAGAGGTATCAGTCTGCTTGGAAGCCGTGACTGGCCAGGGCGTAAAGGTTGTAGACCTCAAGGATGTCAGCTTTGGAAACACGCAGGCACCGCTGCTTGGCGTCGAGCTCATTAACAGTGCGGGAACCCCCATCTTGGGAACGACAACCAAAGAGTGCGATGCGACTACTGGCAAGTGCCGCGTGGCCGCCCTCACGATTCCTAGACTTTACGAATATGTGGACTCTTCGGGCACTGTTCAAAATGTGGCCGCTGGTGTTTCGATGGAAGGGACAGTGCTGTTTGACTTTACCTCCGTTCGGGACCGTCACTTGCAAGGAACCAGCGATCCGCAAACCGTGGAAGCCCGTTTCAGGGTCAGGCTCGACTTGGCCAGCCCACCGGACCGCTCCAATCGGGAATCATCGTCATCTAAGCGTTCCTTTGCCGTCGGTTTCGCTGGCCTCTTGAGCGTCGCTTTTGTTTCCATCTTCTTCGTTTGAACGTGCGACGGGGCCATGTTCCTTTTGTAGGACTAAGTGGTCACTCAAGCCGGCCACAACTAGAGCGCGGTAGCTAGATTGTTTTTTAGTAATAGATTCTTTATCAACGGTACATTTAGTGTTTACAGCCTTGCCGTAGTCAACAAGGGGGATTTCGATGCATTAACCTCAAAGGGAGCAAGATAAGGAATATTGCTATCCGCCACAAAATCCCCTCAGGCCTCCCCGGTTGCTGAACCCCAGTGGCTTCCCCAGTTGCTGCCCCGATTGCTGCGTGGGCTTGACCTTTTACATTTAGCCCTTGGATCCTGCTCGCACCTCTGCACCCACAGAATGGATCTGCAATACCATGAAACCATGCACTATGACATCCATTCTTTTAGTTAATGCATGACTTATAGTTTTAGTACGAATTCAGAAAGCTTCGAAGCCTTTCATCAGCTCCGGCTCCTGCAGGTTTGTTTGGTCGAATGCGAGCGTTATCTGTTGTCCTGGCGTCTGGGAGTGTATACAAGACCAAAATTTGGTATATGTGAGGCTCGAGACGACGACGTTCGTGGTTGCCCCAGTCAGCCGCCATAGCTTATAGTTGTATCCCCAACGAGGCTGAGGCAGAGCAAGACAAGACATAGTTCATTGATCGATTAATTATTCTACGGAGGACGGAGGAGACGACCGACTGGTTAAATTCGGTCCGAAGCGGGGAAGCAAACGGGGACGACAACGATGACAACGATGATTCGCCGCCGTCGTTACAATCGGCGTATCGTTACGACAGCCATATTATTGCTTGGCACAATGCCGGAGCATTGGTGCTGGTTACAGGATGCAGTAATGATCTCCGTGCAGAGAACTCGTTGTCCCGACGGGATCATCGATGCAACGCTACTGTGCTGTTCCATCGGCTCCTCCCTCGATGATGGAGACAATCGGGATATCGCTTCTCTCAAAGACTGGGCTCTTGAAAACGGGATCCAGCTCAACGGTGTCGAGCTGGTTCGAGAGATGGACAACGGGGAGTGGGGAGTGAAGCTGGCTACAAACCCTCTTGTGGGATCCGGCAACGGCAAGGAACCCGTCATGACAATCCCAAACCAAGTGATCCTTTCTTCCGAAATGCTACCCAAACCGGAACTCAGGAGCTTGGCCTACCATTCCCTGGTGGCGCATAAGATGGAACAGTATCTGCCTGAATTTAGTCTTTTCCTAGTCCTACTCCAGGAAGTTGAAAAGGAAGATCATAGCTTTTGGTACGCTTGGTTGTCCTCCTTGCCGAGGTCGTTTGACATTGGCGTTTGCTTTGACGAGCTGGAAACTGCGTACGCGAGAAAGCTCGGGATGGGGAACTATCTTGACCACCAGCATGGTCAGTGGCAGGCCTTCGAGGCGAGTCTCCGAGATATCTTTCCTGGTCATGCTCAGGATGCGCACAAAGTCAAGTGGGCTTTTTCGGTCGTTTTGACGAGGAGCTGGAGGGCGGGATTTCGAAATGCCAAACAAGAAAATCGACCAATTGCCAACTTGGTTCCCATGGGAGACATGTTCAATCATCGAGCTTCTGCCACCGTTTCTGTGAAGCAAGACGCCGATGATTGTCCCGTCACTGTTCATCTCAAACAGCAATCATTGGTCGACGACACAACGTCTGTCGAAGAAGAAATGGAATCTGTGGACAATGGTCTCTACTTGAATTATGGGTTTTCCGAGAACCCCGAGAGGTTCTTGATCGTTTTTGGATTTGCCGATACATCGTCTCCTCGTATTTGCGCTACCAGCATTCGAGACTTGTTCGTTGGGGGAGACCACGATGAAAATGGGCTAATCAGTTGGAGATCCATGGGTTTTCAAGACTCTTCAAAGTTGGTTTTGTACTGTCAAGACGGAGGGATATCCAACACGCTTTGGAACGCGGTCTTGTTCCAAGTGATCCAATCCAACCTTCGGAATCATCCAGACAATTTGCAGTACCAATGTGATTGGAAGATCTTCCACACGACTTGTACAAACCTTGAGATTCTGGACACCCTCTCGAATGACGATTTTCTTGGTCTTCACCAGAAATACCGGCAAGAGGTTGTGGATTTTCTGCGGCGTCATGTAGAGGATTTGCTGACGAATCAGTTTGGTCCTCTCCCCGACTTTTCTGGTGAAGATTTGCTTGCACACCCTCGCCTAGCAATGCTGTTGGATTACCACCTGTTCATGCGAAGCGTGTATCAAAAAGTGCATCATGGTTTGCTGTCCGATTCGTAATAATATGCTGCCGGTAAAGAGGAAGTCGCGGCCATGGGTTGAGCGCTCAGTGACCTTTGGGAGTGATTCGAGCCGTGGCCATGCGTTGACCGCTCAAGAATGATCGATGAACACCGATTGCAGCACGTCAAGGAGTGTTGCCATTGGCAGCACCTACATACTTGTAGAATAGAGTTGCCTGCATACACCGTCGAGTTTGCAGCGGGGCCGAACATCCCTCTACACGTGTGCTAGCCTGAGCTGTCCATGGACTCCTATGCCATGAAAGCAGAGAAAAATCTGCATTAGCTAGCATAGCCAGCACTATGAACGCAACCTGAGCTTGCGAGATGTTTTATGTAATGTTAGGTCCGCAGGAACTGATGGAAGTTACTTTCTTACAATCAAGGAATACATAAAGATGCGGTTTTTGGCTTCGGACCGATCGGGAGGTTCTTTACTGAAAAACGCGTATCGTACGTCATTCACTCCCTGGTGTATCATTTTTCTTGCCTCCGAAGACACAACATCAAGTTGGTATCGTATCTTTTCCTCAATGCAATCAATGTCTCAATCGATCTCGAAGCAGAGAACGAATGGAAGCTTTGTTCTCTGGGGGAAGCCTTTAGCATGGCTTCAGCTCATTATTCTCTCATATCTCATAGATTCTAGCTAGCTAGATTCGGAGTTATTATTATTACTCCTTGGCAATCTGAAGCCGTGATTGCTAGTTGCTAGCTAGCATAGAAATTAGATTAAAAATGACAACCCAAATGCAACGAAATACATGTTCACGTGCAACAATGACAGCACTGGTGGCACTGTTTCTCCTGGTGCAGCCATGCTCTGCCTTTACTACCGTGTCATTGGCACGTACTGGTACAAGTGCACGTGTCGGTATACATACACGGCTGCCCTCCATCGTGGACCCTGATCTGTTTGAAGACGAAGAAGAGGAAATGCTGCCGATTGCCCGCAACTTTGTGTCGGCCAAGTACCGTCGGAGTGCAAGAGAGCACGGACGCGAAAAGTGCAACAAGGACGACATTGCCGAGTTGCTGCGCAGTTTATTGCCCCCTGTCACGTCTCAAGAGTTGGGAGACGAAGTTGAAAAAACGCTTGAAATCATCTTGCAAAACAAAGAAAACACGGAGGAATCCATCAACGAAGAAAACTTTGTAGAGGCCATTGTGGCAAACAGTTACTGGAGAGAAGCACGAGGACTTGTCGTCAAAGAGTAAGCACAAAAAAAAGAGTTCTATCTACATGTACTCCAATGTGTTCTGTTTTCAGTTTTCAGTTTTCAATTTCAAGAACAATCACTCATGCTTATTTATTTGTGCTTTGTGCATCATTTTCTTGGCTCTTTCATTCCATTGCATTTGATTTGGTTGCTATGTAGACTCATGTATTTTGACAGTCTCTACTCCTTTTATGGAACTGGAGAAGCACTGCTCAATGATGATGACTACGAAGAGTTGAAAGAAAATCTTACTTGGGAAGGATCTTCCGTCGCAACCATGAACAAAAAGGAAGCCTTGTTTGTCAATGCTGTGGCGGCCGCAAAGAGGGGGATTCCAATCATGGACGACCAAGAATATTCAAGCCTCAAAAATGATCTCAGAAAGGAACGATCTTGGGTTGTATCCAGAGGTCAGGATGCTTTGGAAAAACTGGGGTTGGATACTTTTCTGGGTTACTTGCACCGGGCATTGGCCTAGCGGCTGCATACATAGCTATAGCTATGATGCGTCATACCAGATACTGAATAGAGGAAGCTCGAAACAAATCATCACCTTTAGAATGAGAATCTGATGTTCTATGCATCGCTCCTAAAAAGTAGAAAAACACAAAAATGGTCGAATTTCAGCAGTTGACTTCATCCAGAGATCCTTTATTTAGTCGACGTCGTGTGAGTATGATAGTCTACTCTACTCGTAATGGAATTTTAAAATTTACGTAGCCAGCACGCGGATGGCATACATGGTGTCTCTGGGCAATGAGCGAGCTTTACAATTGTGTCTTTTTCTGCTCGCTCAATGCTTTGGTCGTCATTTTTCTTGTAGACATGCAGTCATTAGTAGACTACGGTCCCGCACAGCCCAACCCTTTGGGTAATCGTCCTCAATTTCTTGCCCCTGATCCACCAAACCTAGACTAGTCCTGAATTTCGACTCTTCTTTGCTTTTAATAAAATAATCCTGGCCCTGGCTGGCTTGGGTATAGATAATCCACCTACAATAAACGCCATTTTCAATAGACTAGACTACGGAACCAGCTTTTCTACTCTAAGCCCCCCCCCCCACAGATAGATGATACTATAGCTAGTAGCTGGCAAGTTATGCTAGTTAAGCTAGTAGCACGTCCACCGGACACTCTCAAACGTATCCTGATCCCTAAATTCAAATCAGAACTATTAGTTAACTCAACGATGAGGACTGGCTTGCTTTTTAGCGAACTTTCCGTGATCATTGCTTGATGTCCACGGCGAGCCATTCTTTCGCTCGAAAACAAAACAACACAAAGCAAAGCAAAGCAAACCAAAGCAAACCAAAGCAAAGCAAAGGACACGTTGATCGTTGATCGTTGATCAACAAAGCCGCCACTGGTACGACTACGACTACTGTAAGACTAAGACTACGACTGCACTACAGTGTACTCCAGGTCTCAATATGGTTTCCGGCATCCGACATAGGATGTATCAAAGCTTCACTCTGCTGCCAGTGTTGGTGTTGCTAATGGTGGTAAATATCGTCGTATTTCGGAACAATCCTGCGATTGGAATGGAGACGTTGAAAGTTCTTCGGCCGAATCTAAGAAAGACAGAGAAACGAAGGTTGCCCAGCAACATGCTCTTTGTGACAGCACCCCGGGAACCCAAAATGCTGGCGGCCTCCATGAAGAACTTTTCATCACCAACCATGCAACTGAGATTCTACAATTACACTGAATCTGCAAGATCTGTCTATGAGATTGGACTGGAACTTAAACAGACACATAATATCAGTGGAGTGTTTGAAGCATGGTCACTGCTGAGGCCATGGGTAAGTGCAAGCAATTAAGTACTAGTAAAGTGTTGATCATCCAATGTCCAATGAAAAAGGAAAGTGGAAGAAATTCACACTCTGTCCTTTCTCTTCTTGTAGGCATTCAAGGCGGACTTATGGAGAGCACTGGTATTATGGAAATATGGCGGCATCTATCTTGACAACGAGCTTGTCCTCACACAGCCCTTGGAGAGATGGGCCAGTCTCGCTGACAACGAGACCCTATCCACTTGCTTTGACTTTGCGGATGATACATTTCAACTACCCAAGGAGGACAGACGCGACAACTTTACTGACTTTCGGTCCACTTGGAATGCCGTGCTCAGTGCCAAGAGAGGATCTCCTGTAATCCTTGAAATCATACAGGCAATCCTTCACAATGTTGAAACCAGAAGTCTTGGACTGCCCACGACCACCCAACAGGACCTTGCCGTGACGGGTCCAGTATTGTATGGATATGTCATTGCAACTTCCAGCTTCAAAAATACTGTACGACTGCCCTGCGCAAATCGAGCTGGAAACGGAGTTCAATCGTTGCTTGTTGAAGGCAACCTCACCACAACAAATGCTACGGATGTGATTATCGTTGCAGATGAAGAGGAACATGGTCTGACCCAAACAACAGGAATTAACATATCATATGGTGAACTCCACAAAAGAGGACAGATTTATTGTGACAATGTAACAAATTGGTATGGACCCCATGATCGCTATGCTTGTGCGATTGGAAACGAGACATTGGAAGCCATTCGGAATGAAACAGCAGATGCATGTTGGTGGTGCAAGTTCTTTTAATGCCACTTCGAATTCCTCCAAGGCACATACATGTACACTAAAAGGAACGATTTCAGGGTGATATCCCGTTAATGTACACTAAGGAACGATTTCAGGGTGATATCCCGTTAATGTACTAGTAGTCGGCTCTGACCTTGTGCGGATGAGGGTAGATCATGTCTCGTCTCGATCGGGGCAATGCTCGAGCTGAAGAAAGTCTTATCCTGATCCCTAATGGATTCAAACTCTGGAATCTACCAAAGGCACAACTTCCCGTCACTCTGTCTGTTAAACTTGTTGGGTGTTGTTGTGGCGCGGCAGCTGTATGTACTTGGGCGGCAGAAAGAGAGCAACCGAGAGACGGCCTCCTGATAAGCAGCTAGTATCATATATATTGCGTGTGGCAAGACGAAACCGACTGGTTGTGATTGGATTTGGTTTCGCTGCCTTGATCGCTGCAATGCGACTGGTTTGGCTGGGCCTCTTTGCTACTGCGGGAAACCACGCAATGACTGCCAATGCGCTGTCTTTGCACATGTCCAACCAGCCTCCACCCAAGCCACCTCCAACATCAAATTCGCTTTCCCAAGTCTACAAGTCAATAGGAAACAAAGCAGTAGAACGAGCAGGCAACCAAGAGTGGCCTGACTCTACGGATGCCAATCGCTTGTTTGCTACAGATATCAACCCTGCCAGTGGAGACTCACCTGATCACCAGCGGGCCCACCGGTTCAGCTACGTTCTACCGTCCTTTCCCAAGGGAGACGGACCCTTAGCAGTGGCCGCCTTGTTGGATGCTACGGGTGGTCGCAATGCGGGATCTGGGCCAATTATAAGGGAAAGTGTTGACGTCTTTGAGGCCTTTGTCAGGGATCTGCAAGAGATTCTAGCTACCGGCGCTGCTGACATGGTGAAAGAGCTACTGGAGCAAAACATTTGGAGAGTACCCCTGGGGACCCATCATATCACGGTTGCGGTCTTCCAGGAACACCCTTCTCTCTTTTGGAACGAGCAAGACAAGAAACGGTGTAGCCTCGTACAAGAGAACGAGGCAGAACGAATTCGACAAAGCCTGTCATCCTACTTCCTTGAAAGTAGCTCACCCCGCCACGCTCCTCCCAAACTCAAGCTGGACTCACTTTTACTTACAGACACCGGGGCCATGATTGCTGGATTCATTGATGATACTGACCCCTTTTTCGCGACCCATGCCGGTGACAGTGCCACCTTCCAAGCAATTCGCGTGGCCTGCTCCCAAATTGCCATTTCAGTTATTGGAGAGGACCGATTAACTTCAAGACCAAAGAACCTTATTCACACCACCGTGGGCCGTGTTCTAGCTCTACCGTCCCCTTTGACATCCGCACAAAAACAGGCTGTGGCTGAGCTGATAAAATTCTACAATAAACAGGTGCTGCCAAAGGTTGTTAAAAAGCTGCATCATGGCGGACAAGATAGTTTTGCCCTCACGGAACTCACTATGCTTCGAGAAATTGTCTGGACATTGCAAGACTTCAAAGAATACCAGACATGGCATTTGATGCCGACAGCTGGCCTAATAGAATAGAACAAATTCATCGATCCAAGGCGTTGGCGATCTCGCCAAGGGTGTCGTGTCAAAAGGGAAGCTGCATGCTTTCAAGATAGCATAAGAGTACAACTACATAATATCTTTAATGATATCTTGTCACAGATACAACCCGTCATGATGATCCCTGGTGCGGGTGTAACTATACGGAGATCTCATCTTCAATGTCCTCCAGCAGCAGTGAGATTCCACGGTCCTCGTCAGCGGGGAATGCGTCAACGGCACGGATGGGAGAGTCATCCGTGCTGCTCGTGTTCGGCATCTTTTTGTAGTCCTCTTCATCTTCGGGGCCAACGATGGACAGGACAACTGGCAACAGGATAAGCCCGTAACCAATTCCCAACGCCACGAGCCCAATGAAAGCTCGGAAGATAGTCGTGAAGATCTCGCTCGTACTAAAGGCCAAGAGCATGACACCCAAAAAGGTAGAAATACCTCCAACCAGAATGGAGCTACCCATGGTTCGGAGGGTTTCCTTCACACGCTCCTCTCGGGTTCCGTGGCACTCGTAGTACCGCAATAGAATGTGCTAAAGAGAGGCCAGATAGATCATGATGAGGCGAGATTCAGAGACGCGCCCACGTTAAACAGACAGAAAACCAAACCTTTTGCATCCACGTACCATGACAAAGTCGACCAAGAGACCAACGCTCATCACCAAGGTAATGTAGCTCACGGGGTTGACGGTAACACCCATAAAGTACAGCAGACCCAGGAGGTCAATGTAGACCGTCACAATCGATGGGATGACAAAGAAGATTGCCGTCCAGTGCGGGATAAAGACCAGCCCAATAATGCTCACGGCAACCACACTCACCACAGTGGTAAATGTCAATTCCTCCGGCACAACCGCATAGAACTCCCACATATTCATGGTGTCTTCAAAGATGAAGCATCTCTGGTCAGGGCCAGCCAATCCCTGATTCATGGGTTGTTCTCCTTCGACTTGTCGGATCAATTTGAGGCGCTCCTGCAGAAACCTCGAGTCTCCCAATTCTAGATCCATGTACACCTCAACGCGTGATGAGGTAATGTTGCCGGATATCTGGTCCCGCACAATATGGTTCTTGTAGAGACTATTGTACAGGGGATCCTCCAAGAAAGCGTCCAGTTGTTGATTAAACGTCAGAGAAGTTGCATTGTTGCTGTTCAATTCCAATTCTTTGGCCACAAACATGTCAAAGTCGTTCATCCATATATAGGAAGGATCCTTTTGGATACAGTCGTTTTGTTCCAAGTCTTGCAAATAGTCTTTCATTTCTTGTCGAATCACAGGGTCGGATTGGTCCACAAATCGAAAGTATACTTCGGCACCAATGCCTACGCTGGGACTGTGTGCATCCTGGAAATCAAAATAGTCTTTGACATATGAATCCGACGGGACGAGATCAATAAAATCCATCTCTTGTCGCAGCTGTGTAGTTCCGTAGATGCAAGCTCCGAGTAGAGCTGTGAATGCCAACAAGACAATCCCCTTGACAAAAGGCCGCAACAAGAAGCAGGCATACATATCCATGAAGCGAGATGACAAGCTGGGCTTTTCAGCGAGCTGTTGTTGTTGTTGTTGTTCAGGTTTGTCTTTGTCGCTGTTGTCTTGGTCTTCTTGATTGTCGAGTTGGTTTTGGTTTTCCTTGTATTTGTTTCCAGCGTCAATGCAGACGAGGCAATCAATTTTATTGCGTTGCATGCGTCGTTCGTCAATGACAATGAGACTGATAAAGAATGTGATTTGGTATAGAAAGTCGATAATGATGGTAGGGAATGCATAGAGACAGAGCCATTTTACGGCGGTAATACTGCTTATGCATCCCAGGCCAAAGGCCAAGGAAGACGTCAATGTGGTGAGAGCAATGGACAAACCAATGTCGTCAATGGTATCTGCCACTCGTTCGACAGGATCTTTTTTGGGGTCGGTGCGACTGTAGGATCCGGAAATGATGAATGCATCATCGAGACCAATTCCAAACATGACAAAGACAACGATTTGTGTGGCAGATGTCAATGGTACACCCGCGAGGAAGAATATTCCGTAGGATGTAAAGATGGAGAAAAGTACCCCCACAACGGCCCCGAATCCGAGCAATGATTGTGACCTGACTCGATCCCATCGTGCAAAAACGATGCAACAGAAAATGCTCATGACAATGAAAGCAGCCGGCATGAGTGGTAGATCGTTTACGACGGCTCGGTCGAATTCGTCGTCAAATGATGTGGATGCGAGTACTTCGAGATGATACTTGTAGGGACTGTTGAGGTCTTGAGCGTCCCATTGTTCTTGCAATTGGAAGACTGCGTCAACGACTTGATCTGACAAGAACTGTTTGGATTCGTCTCGAAGGGGAAATAGCATGTCAATGCGGTACCCCTCTGCGTGCGTCAATAGGCCGGCTTCGTCGTATTTGCCATTTCCGTAAATGCGATTAGCATCGACATCCCTTCCGTAAGGGAATTGATTATCGGACATGCCAACAATGGCTTCATCATTTGAATCCACGGAAAGTTGGAATAGTTTTTTTGATTGCCACCAAAAGTCTACGACTCCATGGTGGAAGCATTCCATGGTAACGTTGGTGACAGGGTCCGTGTATGGGCTGTCGCAAATGTCAGTGAAGCCTGGCAATGCTTGTACCATGTCGCGCACTTCAAAGGCTCGAGTGACGGCTTGTAGTGCATCTTCTTGAAGATTGGCCCCATCTAGGTGAACGTAAATGACACTATAGTCTAGTTCCTGTGCAAATCTGCTTTCATTCTCGATCCAGTTTTGATGCTGCTTGGTGGTGGATCCCTTAGGAGGCCACAAAACATCTCCATTGGTTTCCAATTCAAAGTTGGTGAAGAGTCCCGCAGCAACTAATCCAATACTGAGGATTGTAATGCCAATCACGTAAGTCCAAGGATGAGTGGCGGCGGAGTGAGTAATGATTTTGAGGAATCCGCAAAGGCGGATTCTCACTGAATCAATGGCACGTGTCCAACGCTGGGAAAAGGTGAGATCAGATTCAGACCATGAAGATGAAGGGGCGATGTGTGTGGTCTTGTGCGTGATCTTGTGTGTGTCAAAGGTGAGGCTGTTGCTATTGCTATTGCTATTGGTGTCATCTGCAGAGTTAGCATTTGAAAAAGAGGTGGAAAAGATGAGGGCGAGTACTTGTTCGAAGTACCAATGACACGACTGGAACTCGTGATTGAAAATCATTGGGCGCACGCTGGCTCACCTCTGCTGGTGTTGGTTGCAATAGTTGTTACCGTGGAAAGTTTTGTCTTTCCATTGAGGGAGACAGCACCGCCATTGCCATTCTCGGTTTTCGTCATCTTGCAGTCCTCTTACTCTCGTTAGCTTCCAGTCAATAGTGGATTCGATTCGTTGCCTTTGTTGTTTTGGGAGTGTTGTTGCTTTTGGCTTCAGCTACACGATTTGTGGAAGCTCCCAACAAATTTGGAAAAAACAACGCAGCGTGGTTGTATGATACACGACCGGCGGGTGAGCATTGTGAGCATGCCGTCATGCGGTCCAAGCCGCCAAGCGGTTTCGACGAAGCGTGATTACTTTTATACCAGTCAAAACCTAAATAAATATCGGTGCATTCGGAAGAAGGCTGCGTACCGGTTAGTACCAGGTACTTACTTATAACTGCGTTCCCCCTTTTTAATGCTTTTCCCAATGATTCAGACACGTCAAGATTCAAACTTGTAAGAAGACCGCATAGTAACATACTACTCTCTGGAGTAATTCTCAATCACCTTACAGGGCTGTACCATCGTACGAATCGTCTTACAGTCAACATTCAGATATATATACAGGGGGGGATTCAGGAATCCAGTAAATATAACAGTGTGTCTAAATATAGAGCGTTACTGCTACTAACCACTAGTAAAGAACGAGTGGAGAGTGTCAAGTGGGTATGAGTCTAAAGTTCATCACGTCTTTGGCGTTTGCTTCTATGCAATCCGGTGCACCTTTGAAAGGCGCTGGTATGATCGGCAACAGAAACTAATGATTAATAGAGGATGCCAGTCTATTGCTGTATTGCTGTATGTAGTTGTTGATTGATCGCTCGCTCATGACAGCCTTTTTCACAGGAGTTGAGAAAGTCGCTCCTACTCCTTTCAGTCAATCAATTGCTTGTTGTTGTTGCTAGTATCTCTTCACCATGGCATCTTCCTCCTCTCGAACAGATACTGACAATGAAGACAATGATGACTTTCGCCGCAGCACTCTCGCTGAGCCGCCGCGCAACACTGGCCGCCCCATGGTTCCACGAGCTGCGAGTCAAGTTGAGCCAGTGTTGCCCTCTCCATCCAACAAGACTGTTCGGCAACTCTACACTGAAGATGAGAACAATCATAAGGGTTGGCTACTGATGATGTGCCTTGGATTGAAGTCTGCAGATGGCTCTCGTGATCTTGGTGATGTGGATTGCGAGCCATGGTCCTTGTTGAAGAAGAAACAGGTCGGAAACCTGAAAACGAAGAAGCCAAAGATTGTTGCGGAGGTCAATCGGCGCTGCCAGATTCCTCTCGTTTCAGTTGGTGAGAAGCGGGAACAACCCAACAATTGGACAGTATCTCGACTCAAGCAATGGCTGATTGATCACCCAATCGAAAAGGAGGAAGATGTTAGGTTTCTTCAACATGCCGAAATGGCAATTTTTGAAGCCACGAAAAACATGATTAGCCAACAGGGGGAGAGTGAAAAGAAATCGAAGCAGCAAGCTTTCGAGCACCGTGATTTCTTACGCATGTTTGCTGCCGCCTGTAATGACAGGGTCAAGAAGTCACTCAAACTGGCTGGAACTGTGAAAGACCGCCAGAGGTTGGATGCAAGAAATCGCAATGACGCTCCTGACAATTTCTTCGAGGAGCTACATGCTGTTTACCACGATGATGTGTTTCTCGCCGAGATACCATCGATGCCCAACCTTCACGAGGATTTCATTGTTGAGGATTTGATTCTCGCCTCAGAAGTTACCCATTGCTCTGTTGAATACATCAAGTCGAAGTGGACCTTCTGCAAGTCCAAGCTCTCGACCTTGATTGCCCGTTTCGAAAAGAGTGGTGCTGGAGAAGGTCAGATCCACGAGAAAGCTGCTGAGTACGCTGAAGCTGCAAGTCAAGAGGCCAGTGAAGAGGAAGAAGAACCCGATTCCGATTCGTCCAGCGAGGAACAACAAAAAAAGATGCCAGGGAAGAAAGTTTGGGGCAGTGATCTATTGGGAACCTTCCTGCAGGCAGGAGACGATAAGGCCACGTTCGTGCATGAATCCAAAGGTGAGAAGTCCTACCTTCTTTACCTCTGGCATTTGGCTGACCAGTACCAGATCTTGGATCATGTTGTGAGCCAAGTCTCTATGGATGTCGCCGCTACAGGGGATGCTGTGAAAACAGACACATCCAAAGTGCAGAAGCCACGCAAGAGGAAGTCAGAAGATGAAGAAGAGGTTTCGAATGTCCGGCAAGCAGTCATTGCTGGCAACGTTGCTCTAGTCGAGATTGGATATCAGCAATGCTTTGAGAATCTTCGCAGCATGAAGAAGGAATTAAAGGAGAACAGCATGGCATTGATGCAGGAGAATGCAAAGGTTGGCGACCAGAGGAACGAAATAGCCATTATCTTTTGGAAGGCACAAGTGGAAGACAATGAAAGGGAAATTCGCCGCTTAGAGCGGCGTTTGTCTCATCTTGAAGAATCCAAGCCAAAGAAGTCAAAGAGTGACTAGGTGAGTGCTATCGCTTTGGCCACTGACAACTTCCTTCAACTAACACTTTATTTGTTCTACGCTTGATCCCATGAAGTTGGTCTTGGGCGACTGAACTCACCAGCTGCTATTACTTCATGTAGCCGGTCTCTGGGCAATATGTCCCATATCTTTTTGTGATGCTCTTCTTCCTGTCTTCGGAAGTTTCTATCAATGTCATCAAAGTGTTCTCCTCCATGTAAAAGCTGCTCTGGTGAGGTATTATTTCGAACCGTCCTTCCCTCTTGGTACGTAAGCTCTGACACCTCCAAAGGTATTCCACCCGCCACCTCAATTTCGAAATCATCCTGCACCAGATTGTTCTCTTCAGGTCCAAGTCTTCTATGAATACAGTAGTTGTGAAGACGACACAGACACAATGCAAGAGCTGTTGACTTCGCAAGTCCCATGGTTGCCGGTAACGCTCTCCTCAGAATACCCCATCGTTGCACCAAGATTCCAAAGGCACACTCAATCTTGATTCTTACTTGAGAATGATAGAAGTTGTAAGCATCTTTGCTTCCTGCTCCCACATTCTTGAAGGGTGTTGCCATGTAGCCTGTGTTCACGTATGCATTATCTCCAAACAAACAGAGCTCTGGGGCAAGCAGTGGGTGCGTCAAGTCTTCGAGTCGGAAATACAGCGGTGAGGTCACGAAAGCAAGATAGTCACTGCAGCAAGCAGGATGCATGATTGAGACATCAAGAAACCTTGCTTCGTGGTCACACACAGCCTGTAAGTTCAAACCAAACTTGTGCTTCCTGGCACAGTGAAACCTCTTGGATGGACAATCAGCAATCTTACAATCTCTCTCTGTTGGCTGTTCCGTCCAAAGCAACATGCAATCAATCGCCCCACAACAACAGTCAAAGTCAGCTTTGCTCTTTGCTCTGAAACCATTGGCGATTGCCCTCTGTCTACTGAATCGACGGGGGAACTCTATTGCGAATTCGTGTTTCCTTTTCAGCTTATTCACCGCATCTACTACCATCCAAATACTGTCATAGACTGAGGTATGACTTATGCCATGCATCACCGCGATGTCATAAGCTGATCCCCCTGAGAAGTATCTGAGAGCACAACTGAGTCTGGTGGAGCTGGCTATCTTCCCATTGACGGCACCTATTTTCTGTTCACCGACACCCCAATGCGTCTTCTTCACCTTTTTGGGTTTAAGGTAAGCTTTCAGCAATCCATGAAGATGCCAAAAGTCCTCTTCTTTCATTCGAAAGGCACGTCTAACATACGTTGGTCCAAGCTCTCTAAATATCTGTTTCACAGACTTTCTTTTACGTTTCACTGGAGGAGTGTCATGTCTACCTGATTGCTGTAGGCCAAAGAGCAAAGGATCAAGTTCCAGCAAGAGCTGGGAGGATGCTTTCCATGCAGCGATAGCTGTACGTGTTCGCTTGGAGGAACCATAATCGTTCGATGCTTTACGTTTGCCTCCAGCATCAACGAAAGGACCTGTTGCCAATACAGCTCGCTGTAGCAAAAGCAACAGGAACAAGATGCAGAAGAGGTACATGTCATTGAATACTATGGACTATTATTAGATCTACTACAACAACAAAGAAAGGTAAGGACCATGGCGCAATTTCCAATGAAACATGTGTACCAACGGCAGCATTCCAATGATCCGATCTTTGATTTCAAGCCTCACTTTTTGGTTTCATCTGTTTTTACAGTGTGGAAAGGGTAGCGAACTGTGAACCTATAAATCTGAAGTTGACATACGTACTTTGACTTTTGGGTTCGAATCCTGGTAGCCTTCGATTCTCTGTGTGGACAGGCTCTAATAGACACCGCCATGGTGAAACGAGGTTGGGAGGCCACGCTTCAACACGCTCTAACCCTACCGTACCGTGCCGAAGAAAGGGTTACATGTAGCTACTCTACTGCTCCATCAAACTCTGCCAAAAATCTCAGGCAACGGCTGCCAGAATCCAGGTCCACTCCGGTACCCGTACCGCTACACTGGCAAAGAGGGGCTAGCCTGAGCTAGTAGGGCTAGCAAGCTTGAGATACTACGTATATCTCTTAGTAGTCTAGAGGAGAGGGTTTAGAGTAGGGAAGTTACAGTATCTAGGGAAGCCGGAGATGGGCCAGCATGAACGACGCATGTCAATCACTTTGATTCTTCCGAGAATGATGACGGCGCCAGCACTAAGGCTGCCCGTGGAAGGTTTGCCTTGCACTTGCACTTCGTCTAGTTTGGATCTGCCTGAAAAGGGATTATCAATTTGGGTCCAAGAAGGTCTACCACGACATCATTGTTCGAGGCACGCGATGCTTCCTCTGTAAGCAATTGAGGCTCAAGCTTGCTTCTGCTTGAACACAATTTGCAGGTGGCCAAAGGAGTACCGGCATACATACATGGCTACATTTTAAAAGTGTGTAGTTAGAAGTAAGACATTCGGCTTCAAAGGTACGATAGATTTTGGCGAGCCTCCCCTTGATTGCATAAGATTACAGGGTCTATTGTATGATGGTGTCGCTATGGTAACAGTCCATGCCAAGAGAGCGTCATGAATTGAGTTTACAGCGGCCCATACATGGGACACAGGTGGCAGCTGCCCAAGAACACGAGAGCTGTGTAGGCCTCAGCTATAGACATGCGCGGCCCATACATGGGACACAGGTGGCAGCTGCCCAAGAACACGAGAGCTGTGTAGGCCTCAGCTATAGACATGCGCAAACCAGGAGGGCCAGCCCAAGTGCAGTACAAACACAGACTGCGACATGCAAATGCGGCCAAGAAGAGAGCACTAAATCTTTCGAGGCCGGCCACAGCTTTACCAACAAGGGCGCGGATTGTCGAAATAGAGCTATCATGACTGAAGCCATGAGTAGCTCAAAAAGCAAAAGCAAGCGCACCCTTTTGCAGTCGTCAATCAAAAGCTCGTGAAACCATTTCTCTTTGCTCACAACTGATGCCTCCTCCTCCTCTCGAGACAACGTCCTGGCTTCTTGTAGAAGGGGCTGATCAGCCTCGCAATCGATCTCTTCCCATTCTTCATCGCTATTATCATCTCCCTCTTGCGTTCCACTTGTCGCATGGCTTGAGCCGTAGTCGACAGCATCAATGGTTTTGCACAAGGTGGTTTCGCATGGTAGATTGTTGCTATCCCCAGCAGCAGAGCAGTTCACCACACTTGATGCACCGATGGAAGTGTCCTTGGCACACTGACTTCCAGAAACCGACGACCTCGAGAAGCAGGAATGGTGAATTGTCATGGTAGCCAAAAGGAAAACCCAAAGCCACCAATGCTGTGCTATTTGAACCGCACTGGTTGAAAACAGTGTCTTTCCCGCGTTCACCCACAGCAAGAGAATCTCCAATACGACCAACGTGCACAGCACGGGCACGCGACGGAGAAACTCCCTCACGCTGGTCCATAGCGTCGATAGTAACCCCCCTTCGTGCCGCCAAGCAGCTGGAAAAACGTGCATCAGAAGGCTTTGAATCGTCGCCAACGACAGTGCAAATCCAAGTAGGATGCCCCCCATCGATTTCATCGAATGAAGTTGCCGTAGTTGAAGCAGCTCCCCTCCCCAAACCCCGAAAACTGCAACAAACAACAGCACATGATGGAAAATGTGGCTGCACCCATGCAAAATATCCACAGTGATAAGACCCGCACTGCCAGTCTGCACTCCTGAAAAGGCAGCCCTGCCTACAGAAGCAATCAATGGAACAACAGTTGATCCACCAATGCGGACCAACCAAAACAACAAGGCGAAACCTGATGCTACAGACATCATCACAGCACTGCCACAAGCTGCAGCACCGTGTTGAACCGATTCACTCCATGATTTTGTCGCTTCATCTTCTTCTCCAGCAGCCTTTGTGGATTCCTCCCCAGCCTCGCTCTCATCCAGTGCACTCTGTTCAAGTTCCTGCTTGGCTTTTTCCTCTTCCAATTCTGCTTGTGCAAACTCCTCGTCTGCCTGGAAATATAATTAAGGAACCACCTTTTGGCGTGAGGACGGCGACGACAAGACGGGAAGATATTGTATGTTGATTGTCATGCACTCACCTTTGTTTCCAGTTCTGCTGCCCCTGCCTGAAGGGATCCAGCTTCTTCACCTTCTTCTGCTGCTTGGGCTTGTAATTCTGTTGCTTCGGCAGTGGCGGCGTCGGCTTCCACTTGGGCGGCAGCGGCAGCTGCAAAGTCCCTTGCTGCCATGGCGGCAAATCGGGCCGATTGACTCTCTAATCCCACAGCCGCCACTCCACCCACAACATCACAGAACACATCCACCACAGGGATCAATTGACAAGCAGCAGCTGCCGCTTCATCAGCTTCTGCTGCCGCCGCGTCGTCTGCAGCCAGGGTTGCTTCTTCGGTTGCTCGTACCTACCGTATCCATCCAGCATCGAGTCGAGTAGATTGAGTAGATTGAGTGAAAATTTAATCAATTCAGAACAAGCAAGGAGAAGGAAGCGACATTGAAATAAAACATAGATCATAATGAGAAACAGATCAATTCAGAACAAGCAAGGAGATAATCAGAAATCATAGTATGCATTGAGAGATTGAAAAATGAGGTATAAACAATAAGGGAAAAAGCTAATAAGCAGCACTCACCATTTCCTCCTCGGCGGTCGCCTCCTCCGCCGCGGCTTCTGCAAAAAGAGCCGAAGATTCCACTTCACTTGCGGCTGCTTGAGCTGCGACACCTTCTGCTTCTTCTTCCTCTGCCATGGCTTTGGCCTGGTCTGCTTTTCCCTTGGAAGCCAGAGTGTCGGCTTGTTCCTGCAGCACTCCAGCGTCTTCTCCTTCCACCGCCGCCTTTTTCGTGAGTGTCTCCGATGCCGCTTCGTCCTCGACTGCAGCTTCTTGCCAGGCTGTGGCTTGTGCTGCCTTTTTTGCGGCATGGGACACTTCGGATTGCATGGTATTCTTCCATCGCGACGTTTGACCCGCCAGACCAATCATGGTGGTGTAAGACAAGAAAAAGGAAACTCTAGCGTCGCACGGAACTGGCAGATGCACCAGCAGCAAAAATACCAAGCCAAGGATTGTCCGGGAAGAAATCCCTGAACGAAATCTTGCTTTCCACCGTCCGTCATGCCTTGTGTTCCCCATTGTTGTAGCGAAGAGAACCCCCTCCTCCTTCCGTTGCTCAACGATGATAAACTTGAAATCAGCTAGCTCTCATTACTTGTCGCTGGTGGTTGATCATTCTACAGCCGGGTATGGCTATCCAGACACATGGTCGTCTTGGCTTTCCCGAGCTTTGATGATGTGTGGCTTGATTGGTGATTTGCAAACAACGTTGTTTGACAAGGTGTGATGATGTGGCGCATAATATGAACTTCGATTGATCGGTTCGGCGATTTCGCATTCTTCGAGAAAAAGGCTTTGAGCTTGTTGGGGTGCCCCTGTGATGATCTTCCACGTTTCGTGGTCCGAACATATTTTAGCTCTGCCTGCTTGTCTTTGGCTCATAACCAGCTCAGATTTCAAATCATGACATCTGTGTCACGGATACGGTACGCACCGTACCGGATCGCCAAGTTCAAATCTGACAACTCGCCACTTCACTCGTTTGCTCCAAGAGGATTGTTGTTGAGGAGAACGATCACAGCATAGCATATGTCATACGGTATGGTAGCATAGCACAAGCAAGATATCCTGATAATAATTGCATCTTTTTGTCAGTACACCATGAGAAGGATTGCTACATTGCTGTTGTTGGGTTGTCTTTGCAACGATCCTGCATCGGCAAGGTTCTTTCATCGGCGCCGACTGAATGATCTCCGCCCACAACAACAGGATGACACTCACAGATTCTATGGTCCACCAGGAAGGCCATTTCGTCGAAACCGCAAGGATTGGTTCGGCACCAGCAGCACCAGCAGAGTAGGTCCATTGCATGGTGGTCACCAGGATACTATCGATGTACCCACGTCTTCATCTACAGAAGAAACAACCACGGAATCGACCACCACTCAGGAACAAGCACCACCACCACCACCACAACAACAAGATGGAAAACAACAACGAATCAAACGTCTGTTTGGAACCTTTTCCAAACACAAGACTTATCCCTATGAACAAAACCTAAAACTGATACGGAAACGACTCGATGCCAAACTGGCTCAGATCAAGAATTCCGCCAAGACCATGTTTGACGAAAGCAGTGATGGCGTGAACCCCAAAGAGCGACTGTTATCGGCACTGGGACCATCTCTCATGGCGGTTTGGGGAAATCGGGGAGCCGAATCGGGACAAATACTCTCCTTTGCTACCCTCTATGCCTTGAGTCTACTAGGAGCTTCGGTGGGATTTTACTGTTTCCTATACTTTATCACTGTGGGATATGCCCTCGGAATCACCATTCCCATGACTGCCGCTTTGACGGTATATGTCCAACGACTACGAACCATGGATCTGGTGGTGCCTCCCGAATGGAATGGTGTGTCCACCTTGCTGCATAGTGGTTTGGTGGTGGTGTGGGGAATCCGTGCATGGGTATTCTTTGTTTGGAGAGAGTACTTCAACTGGCCCGATCTACACAAACAGATCCAACATGTCAATGAAAACAATGCTCCAACACTCCCCGTCAAATGTCTCATTTGGGTCATATACTCATTTCTATACACGTCCATGCTCAGCCCGTGCTGGCTTCGACTCCAACAATCATCTAGAATTATGGTACCAAAGGCGACCACCATTTTCCTCCCAGTCAAAACAACAACAACACTGCATCCGCTGAAATGGATTTGCATCTATCTTCCCATTGGACTGCAAATGGTGGGACTCTTGCTGGAAACAATTGCCGACTATCAAAAGAGTGCATTCAAGCGACACAATAATCGATACGAATGGTGTCATGTGGGACTCTGGAAATGGTCCACGCATCCAAACTACTTGGGAGAAATGATTTTTTGGACCGGAACGTATCTGGGATGGATTCTGTTCTCGGCGGCCGTGGGATTGTTTTCCACATCTGCCAAAACATTGGCCACGCTTCCGTCCACTGCATCGTGGTTGGGACAGCTGGCGTTGGCGTCGGTGGGGTACTTTTTCATCACCACCGTGCTGCGTGGGAGCATTCGTTCCATGGGAGACAAGCACTGGCAAAAGTATGGACACATCCCCGAGTATGCGGCGTTTCGGCAAAGTCATGGATTGCTGGGTCCAAAGTGGAAGAATCGTCATTTGCAGTCGTCCAATCAAACCGTGGTGGAGACGGAACAGGAGTCCACTCAGTAGTAGCAATCAAACTGCTAATCTTTTACTGCTAAAGGAAAAGAGTGCCTCCTAGCTAGAGCTTGCTACCATCTAGCCTTACCACCCTCTCCCTCTTCGATGTTGTTCTGCTCGCGTTCCTGTATCCTGCCCCCCCCCCCATACCGGTAGTTCCCTCTAACCCATAGTAACTTCTCCTATTGAACAGAGGCACAGAGCCAGTTGTCTCAGCCCGTTGAAGCATGAGGGAGAGCCATCTGTGGAGAAGCTGGCAGAGAGGGTAAAGATATGTAGGCGAGGCATTCGTGGTATCTTGCGCGGTCACTCCCCACATTGGGTTGAGAGCGGCTTGGATTCCGTCACTAACAAATAACACGGAGACACGTCGGCCAGGCATACTTTAGTTTTTTTAATAGCTAAATAAATATCGATAAGACATCAACTCAAACCGTCCAAATTTTTGCATGTTAGGGTTGGGG